GACTTATTCAGATATCCATCCTTAGTTTGCAAACTGGCATACTGACGACGGCACAGCTGTGCTATATGACATAAAAATGCATTACATTATATTAATTCACTTCATTGGTATGCTGTATTGCTAATGATTTAAGTTTTCAGTTTTGAGGATTTGGCACCCAGCTATACAAACAGGAGCTAAGCATGATGACTCAGTATAACTTGGAGGAAAACAATGAATATTTACCAGTATCACACACTAATTACCTGTTTTTCTCATGCCTGTTGTCTTTTTAAGCAATCTATGCAAATTATAATTGTCCATATAAAAAGTTTGAGTAATTTAACCACAATTGAATGCAAAATCTATTTTGTTGATCAAGTCAATGTGGAAATGTTAGAGTAAAATGTTTCCATGATGGCTTGATCACAATACAGTCCTGAAGCTTTCCACCATCTCCCCTGACAAAAAGCATTTTCACTTGATGAATTATTTCTTATGGTCGTAAACTAATATTTAGTCTTCATGATGTAAACATGTAGAATTGCTTAAATAATAGGAAATAGAAGGACAAAGACAGGAAGACATAGATAAAGATGGGGGGAGACAGAGGTAAAGACGTGCATCAGCTATGGGTTTGGATTACAATAAAACACTTTCACCTTCAGACAAGCAGCATGCCAATCCCTGTGGGGGTGGTTTTGAGTGGGACTTAGGCAGTTAAATGGCTCTTATTCAGATATGTCCTACATTTTTTCCTACTATTGAGGGGGGTGACATTTTGAAAATGGGCAAAAGAATGGAGATAAGTAGCCCATCTAATGTTCTCTTTGACTCCTGACTATGAGTCCCATGAGCAGAAAGTTGCACACTCTCTCCAACCTGTTTTTAAAGCAAGAACACAGTTACTAAGGAAAAAGGAAAAAAGACCATTAAAATGCTCTCGAGCAAAGTATTTGGTCCCGAACTGTTCCAGTGACTTTAGTAACTACTCAGTCAGACTGTGGCTATACTGACAAGCTTCAGGTGAGCACATCTGTACAATAAAGAAAACAGGAGGTTGCAAAAAGGAGCGTAGCAACCCTTTAAGATGAAGCAAAAACAAAGCAGCACAATGAGCAGGCAGCAGCACTGCAGCTCAGTGTGCTCTAAATCTGAGGTTTCCGTGCTATTTCATTTTGCATCACACAACTAAATGTCATTAGTAATTAAATGACTAACTGTAAATGAACACACATATTAAACCCCAAAGTAGAAAAAAAACTAGATGAAAGCTTTTCATTATAATTAAATCCTATAATAAAGGCTGTGTCACACCGCCCACCATAACAATTGGCTTCCATACCCTCTGTGTAGGACTGTGTGTGTGTGTGCGGCAAAAGCAATGGCACCCTGTTGATTTAGTTCCCCTCTCCTTAGGGAGAAAGTCTGTTGTTGTCTTCCAAAATACACACACCCACCCACAAGCACACAATGCACTCACTTGGAAACAAACTTGTGGTGTGGCTTTTGATGCTTGATAATTGTTTTTAGGCAAACATAATTTTGCTAGCGGAGACAGCTAACCCATAACCATGAATCAGTGAGATGGTAATGGAGCCATAGGGGGAAAAAACACACACACACACACACACACACACACACACACACACACACACACACACGTACACAAACGCAACACGCACACACACGCATACACACACAATATACTGTGGCAACATTGCATGAGGAACTCTCCCTCTCTGCCTTCATCTCTGGTTTTGTTTCTCTCTCTCTACACGTAAGTTTCCATTGCTTTTACTTTCCATAGTCATTCAGCAGGTCCTATACAAAAAATAAAAACGTCTTAAGGAGAAACAAACAAACCAATAAAAGTGAAGTTGAATTAGTTTGCCGTCGGCTCACCTCCATAACCATTACTTCTCCCTCTCCCCTTCCCACAGAAAGCCAGTCAGGTAAATAATCGCCTCTGCTTTAATTAATAAATGCGTCATCCTTAATGAGAGGGGCTTATTAGGCCCTATGGCAACTGCTACTGGTCTGTTTTTCTTTTGATTTTTTTCTTTTCCTTTTTTTTTTAACTTTCCAACTTCAAACTTAATTTCCACCTCTGAAGCATGCTAATTGCTCTCACTCTCTGCTTTATAAACAACAAAAAAAGTTTTCTCATTTGGAGGCAGAGAGCAGTTTAATGTGCGGCTATCGATCGCAGGGTAAAGGAGTTTGCCCCTAGCTGGCCACAGACCAAATTAATTTTATATCTGAATTAAAGTGGGGCAGGTGTATATTTGGATAAACGAAAGGCGCTACATTTCTGAATCATTCAATGTCACTTTCAGCATTTACATAAAACTCACACTGATTGAACACCACTTCAGTGCACCCTAGAACCCAGAATAAATTTTAAATAAACTACTGACTACGGATGTAAACCTGCTTTCATTATCGACTAATCTGCCAATTCGTTTCTTGATTAACTGTTTGGTCCATAAAATATCAGGAAATACTGAAAAATGTCACAATATTGTGGAATCCCAAAGCATCGTCTTCTTATTTCTACTTTTGTCTGAATCCTCATAGAGCCAACAGGCTCTGCAAAACTACAGCCGAGCAATGGGATCATATTACACCTGTTGTACTTTTTACTTTATTTTAACAAGTGGATTGAACATAACACGATGACCTTTTAAAGCACCGCATGACCTGGTGCCCGGCTACATTACAGAGCTGTTCAGTCTGATATTCTACAGCAGTGGCCTTTTAGCTGCTCCAGAGTCAAGGCTAAGGACCAGGGGTGGCCAAGTCTTCTCTGCTAGTGGGCTCAGGATCTGGAACACTCTATTGCCCAGAGGCCCATTCTCTCATAATCCATCCACACCTGGATCCAGGTAAACTACTGAAAATTGATGAATTAACTGATCAGTTAAACACACTTGTCCATTATGAGTCAATGAGTTTCCTAAAAACTGTTTCCTGAGAGCCAAAAGTCACAACTACTGTTACTGTCTACGGCAGGCAAGAAAATAAAAAAGACCTGCAGATACTCTATAAGAAGACCTCTTTTTCTCTTCATGCATTGACTTAGTTACTACATTTAGAAAGTAATTCCCTGGTATGTGGGTTCCTGCAGGCAGCACTGACTTCTACTGTGCTGACTGTATTTCTTGACGTACAAGCACATAATGTCATTTTCCTACGCAACCCTGAGGACCCGTGGCCTTGTGTATTGTAACTCCATTAAGTAATACACATACTGTAATACACACCCAAGCACATAAGCACGCTGAGTCATCTCCTCAGCATTTAAAACCCTGAAGTGTTTTTCTATCAAAATATTTCATCTTAGAAGTGAAAACATTAATGATTCAATTAATGATTAAATTATGGAATGTTGATCAACAGTAAAATGATGCAGTTATTTTATTTTGTATTCATCTTTTAACCATAGCTTAATGAAGTTTGACAGCATAGAAGTAAAGCTTGTGTCTCTGTCCAGCTGAGCTGAATTGAAGTGTCGATCGCGGTGCAGTGGTTAAACTGTGATATGCTGCAATAAACCTGTCCATTTGTCAGAGGAGATTAATTTTAGCTCCACAGTGAAGACCTAATTTTGTTTAGTTTTTTTTCTCTAAAAAAGCCTGGAAGCTTAAATATCAGTGTGACAAGAGGAGGCAAGGTGAAATTCAGGAGGCACCTAATTTTACAGCAGGGAAGTTGGATTTGAAGTAAGGCAGAAACAGACCAGGCATCGTGTGTGTCCTGAAAATACAAACTGTACTCAATGATACCGTACTGCATCCCTGAAAGAGTGTGATTAAGATTTGTTTTAGTTAGCAGGAAGGAAAAAACGATAAGCGGTTGTTCTTTGTTCAAATAAGGAGCCTGAAGTCGCCTGCATCACTGTGTATCCCTGCAGAGTTTTAACATCCACTCACAATAACTGAATAATAAATAATCTAGATTTTCCATGACATCAGCTCAAATTGTTCTCTCACCCAAGTTTATATGTTGAGTGACAAATAAGATGTGTTGTGTAAATAAATCGTGTCTGAAAAAGTCAACAGTGGAAGAAATAGTGCAGCAGAGCTTTATGAAACCTGGAATAAACCACAAGCCTTATACCAAACTGTCAAACATGTCACAGGTTTTGATTTGCACCTCCTTTATTAACAATGTAAATCACAAAAACTCACTAGACGTCTAGAAGTCTAGACTTTAGGCATTAAGAGGAGATGCCAATACCATTACCACAACACACAAGAAAATAACCAAAAGAAATCAGCAGGTAAAAAGGGACATATTGTCAGTTTCTGTTTGACCAAGTGCTACAGCAAAACAATGGCGCTGTCAGACTAACAAAAATAAAATGTGATACCTAGCAACATGTTTATAATAGAAGTACTCACACTTGGTTAGCAACAGCTGCAAACAAAGTCATGCCGGGGTGACACCTGGTACCAGTGTGGGAGGTGATTTCTTGTTAGCACATTAATCATACACCGTCATTACGGCATCGCAGATGTGCTTTGGAGCTTTTTTGCAGCATGACTCAGGCAGCCTGAGATCAGACGTGGATCTGTGAGGACTCGACTATGATTCTGTGATTTGAAAAACAGTACCTGCAAGATGACAAGCAAGTAAAACCTCCACTTATCTCCTCCGTGTCTCATCCTCAGTGAAACCTGGATCGTACCAGTCCTATCAGCTCAATACCTGCAGGAGCCGTTCACGTCAAAGAGCAACTCGCGACTGACAGCTAAAGGGCCTCGATCACTCAACAGACGCAATAAAAGCAGTGACTCACACAAATACTCATGTACATACATACACAATGTACTGGTGTGTGCTCTGATGACGGACAGTCTGATGAGTAAAATAAATGTGAGGAGAGAAAAAGGTTCAAATTAAGAGACTATGAGGAGATTTACCTGATCTATATTTCAGTGAACTTTCCTGTCGCTGTGCGTTCGTTTGTGTGTCCATATGTACATGTGTGTATGTGTGCGTTTGATGTTCCTTACCCTGTGTGCATCATTTTCGTGCCCTCTGCGTCGTGGGTCCAGCTCCTCATAAGGTGGTACCATTCCTTCTCTTCTTGCCTGCTGGTACTCTCTCCGTAGCTGCTGGATCCTGTCCACACTGCTACACACACACACACACACACACACACACACACACACACACACACACACACACACGCACACCCCCACAGGTAGAGTAGGCAGGCACACGGATGCAACCAAGCATACACATACACACAGAGACACAAAAGCAAAAGAAGACAAAAATGTTTTAGGAAACAAGCTTTTACATCACTCTGAAAAACAAACATGTAATTGGGTTAATTAAGTTGTTACACATCCAAGGTGAAAATTAAGAATTTTCAGACCCCACAGGCGCAGGAATGCAGCCAGAAACGAAGTAAATTCAGCACAATTTGGGGATTTCTGGGCTTAACAACATGCATGATCAGTTATAGGTTGCTATATGTTTTTACATAAGTCTTTGTCACTGGATCACATCTGTATTAATATAAAATAAAGAAAACTTTTAAGAGCTCTGGCATCACCAGCACATAGCTGTCCTGATGACGAGCGAGTCAACAAAAGCCATTTGTTTATTTAAACAGTAATTTTCCCAACATCAGTGTGCAGAAATTTGACTGCAGAAATAAAGACTAGAAAGACCCACCTGTATATGTGCACACTCACGTGCGTGCGTGCGTGCGTGCCTGTGCCACGCACACATGCACAGATCAATCTCTTAACCGTTCTGACTGCCTACATCTATATCTGGGGTTCCATGTTTTTCTTTTTTTCTCTTGCAAAAGGCAAGAAAACAAAAACATCAATCATTCTATGAATATTCTTTCTCTCTGTCAACAGAGGAAATATGCAGCATATCACCACTGAACCCTGGGCACCCTTGTGAGTCATGCACATACACACATATCCACTCACCCACACATAATGGAAATATGGAAAGCCATATCTACACATATGTTCCCAGATGCACCATTAGAACTGCACTGTGCAATTTCATGAACCAAGTTGGTGGAAGGAGGAAAAACACACTGATATACCACCAGGACTTATGAAAAGTCAGAATAATAGCAACCCACTCTCTCCCTTTTCTCCAAGGCACTCTGTAAACTATGCCATCAGAGAGGTCATGCAAAACTGTTGCACTACAAAGAGTCAGCATGTCACCCATAATGTGCATGGATATTGCTCTGTTTTAGATGTGTGGGTATTTGTTTCTGTGAAACTGGAAATCCCCAGTCAAATCTAGACTTTGATAAAAAACTGTAAGATCAGGGATAACTGCTCTGGAGGGAGCTTTAGGAAACCAGCAGCTGCTTGGGATAGTCCATCCCTAACAGGGGTTGCGGTCCAGGTGAGAAACCCTGAAGATGCTCAGAAAATACAGACAAGAGCCAATCATCATAAACTCAACATAAAGGTACAAATACATATGAGCTAAGCTCAAATACAGTAGCCCATCTGAAAGCATATCCACTCTACATTTCCTTTATGTAAAAATGAGTCTTTGTCAAGACAGACCTCTTCCCTGATTTAGCATTGACTGTGTGTGTTTACTCTTCAAACTGGCAATTCAGTGATTCAGTGTCTATGCACAGCCCACAAAAACAGATTAGCTAAGAGGAGAAAAGTCCATGTATGTCCAATCATCGAGAGACAGAGACATTCCACAGTGATGATGGTGGACAGGGGAAAAACTGAATTGCATTATTTAACATACCACAAGCAATGTAACAAAAGGGTTAGCAACATGATAGACAATGACGTGGCACATTCAGGTTGCTGGCACATTAGCAGACTGAAAATGGTTCCATTGTCTAATTATTACTCTTGGAAGCTTCACACTAGCATAGTGACTATCAAAGAGAGGTCCTGCAATAATGTCATTCTGAAGGAATTAATTCCTCTAAAACAATACTGTCCTGAAAACAAAACCCTCCTCAGAGATGCCAATATAAATTATAATGTGGCTATAAAAGCTAAATGAGAAAGCACTAAAAAAAATAGGTCATGCTTTTCCACCAATGTTATTTTTCCCAAAATGTAAACTCCATTCACAAGTTTATTTTTCTCTATCCCTATTTTTCCTTTACCCGTTCTCTTGTTGAATCCTGCCTCTTCACCCCCACTCCACTCTCTGAAACCATGAACCCAGAGAGCTGTGAGAATGACTGTAATATCCACAGCTCTGAAACACATTACACCCAGTCTCACATCACAAATCATGTCTGAGCTGTGCTCTCACCCCCATGTTACAACATGACTTTGTTTAAATGTCCTTTTGTCAGCATCTTCATGCACCAAAGAGCGTCTCCCTCTTAAATCTGAATCTAATTTATTTTTATTTTTTATGTTAATTTATGACAATATACAAACAATGAAAAACGGAATATATAGGAAACTGGCTGTCTTTCACTGATTCTCTTTTTCCCATTTAAAATTGACTGGAGTCATATAGGAGATTGAGAGAAGCTGCATTTATGTACAGTATACACTGTATCGGGGGCTGCATTGTAGCGAAACACAATCTAAAATCGGTGTATCTGTGTGTGTTTGTGTCTGTGTACGGGTGTGTTTCTGCTCCATATTCTAGCTGCAGAGAGAAAGACCGCTGTGTCAGCAGTAACACACAGCATCGACTGCGCAAAGAGCAAATCTGAAGCACAGTGAAATCAGATGCTAATTGCATCTCATGACCAAGAGAAACACATTTTTCAGTCTTGATTGTCCTGTTACTTTGTTTCTCTATTCTGTTTCATTCCAACATTTTCTTTTCAATTAAATTTTTAGAATTAAAAAAATTAAATCTAAGAAATGTCAGGTTTTTTTTTGTTTTTTTTTTCCCTAAAGCTGGACCACAACACCCAGACCAGCCTTGGAAAAATGAATGTCTGTGACTGATTGACTAAGTGATTTCAGTTACACCAGTGGTTGGCCAAGTGTTGGAGTTTCCTCATTGGCCATTGTTCTGGCAAAATGAAATGTCATCAAGGGGGCATTTACAAGCAATGCTGCCAACTTAGAGCTTTTGTTGCTAGATTTACCGACTTTTCAGGTGCATTTGGTGACCTTTTACTTTTAACTCTTTCAGTCCAAGTAAATGTTTGAGGCTATTTCCATCAACAGCCTGAAAACATACAAAACTGAGGAACTGGAGGGAAAGAACAGAGACAGCTGGAGTTTCTGGTGGGTTTTGGCAACAGTCTGAGTCTCACACAAACATAAACAGGTACACTCTGTACAGATGCTGTACTTTTGCTGCATACACTATTAGCTAGCTATGGACAATGTCTGTATAGCCATTACATTGGCTGTTTGAGGAAAAATTTAATATGCAATTCTCAAAGAGTCCCGTGATCACTTCTATTCTTTTCTACTCTGTTTTCTTGGTTCTTCTCTGTCCTATTCTGTTTTGTGCACATTTTTCTTTGCTGTGCTTTCTCATGTTTATGCATCACAGTAGAAATGATTTGTGTCAGGAGGAGCACCAGATGATATACAAGTCATGCAAATATGCTCTCACACACACACGCACACACACACACACCCTCTGCTCTACTTTATTGACCGATGGCCTGGGAGAATAGGGTGGTAAAATGTACACAACATTTATTTTATGCCCACAGATGCATGCACACACGTAAACAAACACTCATAAGTACACACACACTCACTCACACAAAGGGTACTTTATACGATTTATAACCCCACATAGAGGGAAGAGGGTGGGCTCGAGAAGAAATAAATATGATAAACACAGACAGACACACACACACACACACACACACACACTCACACACACACACACTCACACTTTTGTGCATAAGTATGCAAACATTTCCATGACCACATACTGAGGAACTGTGGAAGTTATTGATTAGCTTTAGAGAAACAAGTAAGCTATAAAAGAAGCAGAACTGTATGACTTCACTTTTTAACTACCATTGTGGTCATTAAACACCACTAGCATTGATTCATGTGGTAACAGCCACATACCATAGCACTGTTCTGCGGAGTACATGACTGTGCACCTAAAACATATCAACACTTTTGCTTTAATCACCCATACTTTCACATCAGGAATAACTTTAGATGAGTCAGTCATACACTTCAGGATATTCAGGTTTGATTTTAACATCTAAAATAAAAGTCATATGTAAGGTTTACGTGTTTCAAAATAAAAGCAGAGTCTTACCGCAGCAAGAACAAACTCTTATTTCTCTCAAGTGTGGGCACACACACACACACAGACACACGCACGCACGTACGCTCTCACACACACACACACACACACACACACACACACACACACACACACACACACACACACACACACACACACACACAACGAGAGAGAGAGAGATCAATCTCTTGCTCTTGCTCTGTCACACCAATAATAATTCTATAAATGTTTAAAATCAGAATCTGAAACTCGGCATAGCTGTTAATAATGCTGCTATTAATAATTGAGGGGCTTTGTTCCATTAATAACACCCTAAAATATATCAATGTCCACAGTAAAGGAATACGTTTTTGTCATTAAAGCCTATAAATATTTACAAGACTGGTTATAAGACGTGCAATTTCTTCTTTAAAGTTATACCCTTAAAACACGTCTCCTGGTTTCGCTTTAAATCAGTTTTTGGGATCTTGCCATCTAAGAGGAAGTCTCCAGTGTTGAGGGAAGGATGAAGTGTGACATGTTCAAAGGTCATGTATATTTAACATAAATTTTTAATGACATAATGTGGGATCTGTCAAATGCTGTAGTAACACAGTCTGTTCAGGAATAATACACTATGCATAGGTTTAAATTCTCTGAAAGATGTTTTATTTATTTAAACTTTAATGCTCGTGTTAAGTGAAAATACCTTAGGAAGGCATTATCAGCCAGGGTTGACTTTAGGCTTGGCTTAATAACATCATCAATAATTAAAAACTGTGCAAATGTGGCAAATCCATTATCAACACCAGTGCTGGTATCTAAAGGGAAACACAGTGATTTGTCACCTGAAGATCTTTTGGCCTTTTCCGTCCATCAGAAAAATTTATTAAGGGTTCCAGACAAAGAAAGACAGGGACAGAGGAAAAGATGGATCC